AGCAGCAAAAGGACCAGTGTACTCCCTTTCTCTCTCTTCTGCAGTCACAGTGTACTAGTATCTCCTGCTTTCCTACCAGGATGGCTTTGTGTTAGCTGGAGTGGGTCTCAGCACTGTATTCCAAGAGGCTTTGGTGTTGTGGGGTAGGATGAGTGAGTGAGTCTGTGCGTGCATGTGTGTGTGTGTGGTGTGTGTGTCTACACGCATTGTATGATACCTTGGCTCTCTTTGGCATCCAGCTGTCTTCAGTGAAATTTATTGCACTAGAAGTAAAAAATAAGGGCGGAGTTGGCAGGACATAGAAATAAACCATGAGTGCTGATGAGCGGCGTACTTTCATCTCAGCTGTCTTCTCCTTTACGTGATGTAAATGAATGAGGACAGAATAAAGATACAGGAGACATGGAGACCTCTCACATATCGTGTGAGAAAGAATAATTAAATGTTTTGCCTCTAGCACTCCACCTTCAAAAGTACTGAAATGCCCTTTTTTAAAAGTTGACAGTATTTGTTCATGTTGGGTTCACTTTTTAAGCCATAGGCTTCAGCTGCTTAAGACTGGTATATGTTTGCTAGCTTGAAATATTCAGTCAAGATAAACAAATTGACACTCTTTTGGCTACAAGAACTGTATTGCCATTATTATGAAGTAATTGAGAATTTACTAAAACCTCTTTTTAGGTATTGTCCTTCCTGCAAAAATGATTCTAATGAAGTTGTAAAGGCTGGAGAAAAGCTCAAACAGAGTAAAAAGAAAGCAAAGATGCCATCTGCCAGTACTGAAAGCCAGAGAGACTGGGGCAAGGTAGAGTGTGTTTTAGAAATAGCTGTTACTCTGATTGCTCATGTATGTGCTACGTCTATAATTCTACCTACATATGCACTACACAAAATTCAGTACTGGGTTGTATAGACAATAAGACAATGTTTAATCCTGCCCACTATCTACTGGCAGTTGAAGCACTAGAAGAATTATTAAGGTGACTAGAGGTAAAAACCAAAAAAAAACAACTCCCGGTCCCTCTCCCAAACCCATAAGCACGTGTTAATTAACATTCCTTTTAACAGTTGTTAACATATTTTAAAGTATGTGTTTGTCACAATGATCAGTTTCTTGATATCTACATTGAGTTTGAAAACAGTCTTCAATATTATACTACTAATTCACTTCGTCTGCTGTATTTTTAGGGCATGGCCTGTGTTGGCCGCACTAAGGAATGCACTATTGTTCCTTCAAATCATTATGGACCTATACCTGGTGTTCCTGTTGGGACAACCTGGAAATTCAGAGTTCAGGTATGTTGTTTCAGTGTTACCTGTAGTTGGAGAAACAAACAATAGTAATGAATGGGTTGAAGTATACTGATTTTACAGTACGACTGAGTAAGAAGTCTGTTGTCGTTAGGATAAACGAGTTTCACGTGTTAAGATTCTAAGTGAGATACTTAGTGAATAGAGTCAAGTATTTTCTGAAGCGTACTGCACATGAACTGATTTTCCTGCTTAGGAGGTGTAGACTGTGGATTTTGAAAAAGTTAGATGATATCACTGTAAATTGATTCCCTATTGATTTTTTTTGGTCAGATGTGATGGATATCCCAGTCTTCTTTTAGGCTGATGAACAGCTTAAACCAGTGTAAGCCTGGTTCAGTACTACTACTGGAAGTAGCTGTCTATTCAGCCTTTGCTGTTTCTTGCACGGTCTCATCTTCTGCTGCAAATATTTCTTAGGCTCTATGGTAAACTAGATTGGTAAAAAAACTGACAGAAAAATAATCCCATCTAGGGTAGGAGGATAGTTAATTTTTCCAGTCAATTCTACATTTTGGTTATATAAATCCAATGCCAATACTCAGGGAGGCAAGAAAAAACAAAGCAGGGAGAATAGGACAGTTTCATTTTGTGCAAATATTATTTTTTTTTCTTTCAAAGTATCCAGCTAACATTCTTCCTTTTCCCTCAGCCTTATCTGATAGCATTGATTATTTTTTTTTAAATCTTTGAGTTTTTTTATTGTTGTTTTTAGTTGGGGAAATGTATACTTTGTTTTCAAAATCAGTTAGTTCTTTGTCTCTCGTACATGTAAAAGGTTGTAATTGAATGTTTTCCATCATATTTGGAAGAATAGAAACAGTTTTTTTTTAAACTGCTTGAGGAGGGGCAAGCCGTGAATCAAAAGCCTTTTCTGATTTGTTTTCTGAACTTTTCATCTCTGCTTTCTCATGAGAAGAGAACAGATGTTTCATTATTCAGTTGGTGGAAGGGAACACTTAGCAGGCAGTTTTCCTCTGGTGGTGTCTTCCAGTACTACGTGCAGAATTCTGGATGTGGAAGGCCATGCGAGTTTTAAGCCTGATGTGATGAGCAGCAGACATTTTGCCCTTAGCAACGGTTTTCAGTTTCTGCTCTTGGTAGAAATCACGGTGAAGCAGCTGAAACCTAAGCTAGTTCTTTTGATCCTTTCTGGCCTTGATGTCTATCGTTGATGCTACCATCAATACAAGCCTTAGATGAAGCCAATTAAATTTGTAATGTAAAATTATGCTGTTCATCCTATTAGCAATTTTATACAAAATGGCTTGGTTAAGAGAATTCTGTTTTGATTCTTTAGGATATTTCATTGACCTCTCCTGTGTTTGAAGAACTTTTTTCTGAAAGGAATTAAAATAACTTATCTTTTTGTTGGCTTCCAGATTAAGTAAAGTCTCATAAGTAAGAGAAGTTTCTAAAATCACTTATGTAAACTCAAAATCAAGTGTTTTATTTTCACTACTTCAACAATAATTGAAATTATTAGTTCACCTTTTTTGTTAGGAATTCCATTGGTAACACAAAAGCTTATAGTTTTCAGATCTTTCTAGTAATGGTAGAAAAAATAGGGAAAGGAACAGAATTAGACCACAGCTTTTGTCAGAAAATTAAGCAGAGAATGCTAATTTTTCTGTATCTGTGTGTGGACTAGACATCAAAAGGCAATTACCATTTCTACATAGTTATTTAATTTTGGGTACAAATGAAATACTTTGTCCTTTTTTTTTCTAAAGATTGAAGTGTTTTCTACATTGAAAGTTAAATTACCCTTTTGTTTCTCATGTGGCTGGATTTTTATATGAGAAGTGAGTTTGTCTCAGCAAATCTATGAGAATTTAGAGACTGTAGTTTCTTTATTTTTGATTTGTGTAGTTTTTTATGACACAAACTATCTTTTCCCTAGAAGGAAATTGGCTAAGTATTGCTTCTGGAGAGAACGTCTGAAGAGCATCTTTGACATGAATTGCTTAGCAGAATTCATCTTTGGGGTGAATCACCTACCAGAAACCTTAATTTAACTGATAAAACCTGGAAATGAGGGAAGTGAGGGAGGAATGAAAGAAAGGATGCTTGATACAGCAGGAGAGAGGAGCACAATAGTGGGGCTTTTTGTTCAGCATACTCATATATGGTCTGGAAGAATTGGCAAATAGCTGATAAAGTTAGGTGAGAGTGCTAAGTTGTCGTGAGTAGTGATCATAGGGTGGGGAACCGTTCTAACTATATAATTGCAAATAAATTCAGCTACTTGTTATTATTTAGGAAAGAGATCTCCTGATAGATATTTTGAAAATATGTCATCTTAATACTCAGTAGTGATCAAAAAAAATAAATCAAGTGTTAAATTATTGTGAAAGGAAGGCTCAGGAAATAAAATATATTAGGTCATCTTAATACCCAGTAGTGACCAAAAAAAATAAGTGTTAAATTATTTTGAAAGGAAGGCTCAGGAAATAAAATATATTATTATGAACAGCAATTGGGATGATTAAAGGAATGGAATGGTTTTCATTCAGCTGGTAAGACTTTTCATTCTGGAAGAACATATAAAACGTGGTGTAGTGTTAGATGGCTGCAAAATGAGGTACAGTATGAAAAAGTGATTAGGGAGCTCTATACATGCTTTTGTAATGCAAAAAGGGGTCAACAAGAAAAAGGGTCAGCTGCCCACTTGAAAATGAACAAAAGTCACATGACAAGTGGTGCTCCTGTGGATTCTTTCTGCACTTGGATACTATGGATTCGAAAGTTTCAAGTAGTTGAGGGAAGCTAAGCCACAGACAGCTGGATACTGAGAAATTGTGCAAGGAAGTATCATTGTGTCCTTGCATAGTTCTCATACTGTGTGCAGCTCTTGTCTGTTGTTAGAGACAGTATTTTTGGGCAGCTGAACCTTTGATCTCATCTGTTGTGTTATGAAAGTACAAGACTATGGCAGAAGAATGTAAACTTTCATGGAAGTTACTTAGAAGTGTAGGTTGGGAAAAGTAGTTCAGGAGTGGGACTGGCAGAATGGGAAAAGCATCATCAAGGTCTGAAGGAAGATAAGAGGGTAGGAAGAAGGATCCTAACTGGGTTTCTGCTGGAAATCTTTGTTCTATCAGTAGTATTTTCGGCATCGCATGCTGAGAAAATAGATAATTTAATATGTAGCCTCTTTTTTATTCACAGAAGTTGTGGGTTTTTTTAAATACAATTTGATAGTTTGAAACAAGGAGTGAAGAGATGGTTATTAAATAAAATTTTGTGGGAGAGGTGTTCCAGCAGACTTTAATGATGTTACTGGTTTATTGTACAGCTGCAGCTCTCAGGTGGTCTGGTTGCAGCTTAGTTCCATGTTCATTACCAGGGAGTTATCCTGGCTGGAGAACCAGCTCATGATCCATATGTTATTGCAATGGCTTCTTGTGTTTCCTTAGGCAGTGTGATAACATTCCTCCGAGTTGATCACGTTTACAGAGTGTTACCTTAATAATAGCTGACATAATGATCTTCATACGGGTCACTGTCATTTTCCTTGGTTAAGAAATGTAAGATGTTATGAAACTGACAGATCTCCATCTGCTTTGGATTGTTCTAAATAACTGCACGAGTGGAGTATAGCAGTGAGTACAGTCTTAAAGAGTGCTTATGGAAAGAATCAAGAAGATTTTTCATAAAGAAGAAGGTGCATCTTTGTGTCTTCCAGTGTCACCACTGTCCTACATTGTCCTGTTTTTTGGGTGTCCTTTCTTTTGGCTTGTCTTCCTTAAAAGCAAGTGGAATTCTCACCTTAATTGGCAGTCTTACATTAACTATTTACACAGACACCCCTGTACAATATTTTAAGCAGAGTTGATTGTTAAAAGTGATTGTAGATGGCTGGTTGTTTGAAAGAAAAGAAAAATGCTAGAAACTGGCTTTTTTCTGTTGCCAGGTGAGCGAAGCAGGTGTTCACAGACCACATGTGGGTGGAATCCATGGACGCAGTAATGATGGAGCTTATTCACTTGTATTAGCTGGAGGATTTGAAGATGAAGTGGTATGTCGTTCATGCAAGCAACAGTTTTGCTGTTCTAATGTGTCAGTGTTTGTAAACATAGAGTTATATTTATTGTTGATCCTAAAATTAGTGCTTATGCAAATATGACCGTGAAAAAAAAATAACTACTACTGATAACAAGTTTAATAGCTTTTAGTATTTTGGGGAGAAATATGTGAGCAAATCTTTATTAAATAATGCTTATGCTCATACTTACGCTCAAGCAAAGTATCTCGGTTACAGCTGAATTTTACATTGTTTAGTTAAATTTCAGTCTGCTTTCAGAGTCTGTATGTAGTATTATTTAAAATCTGGTACTGTAATTAAATATTTTTTATGTTCTGCATTGGTCAGGATTTTTATTGCTTTCAGGACAGATAGATGCCTCTTCCTTTGGGTCCGTTGTGTTTCTAAATATGTGATACATTTATTTTAATGAAGGAAGACACATGTTACTTGAATTCATGAAGTTCTGAAGGTTCTTGACTCCTACTCATGAGCACTTTCAGAGCTTCTTAGGAAAGTCTTAATATCTTGTATTATGATCTCCAAAGGTGCTGGGAAAAAATTTCTACTTTGATGTTAACATCTAAGTAGAGCAATGAAAGAAAGTAATGCTGCTAAACAAACCAGTAACTGCGTCCGACTTTCACTCGGGATGTTGACCAGCATTTATTTTTGAGTAGATTACTATTCTCTGCAATTAAATAATGTTTACACAGGGTACATCCCTTCCTGCAGTTCTGCTCCATCAGGTGGAATTTGAATCATGCATCAGGTGAAGGATAAAGCAGTAAGCAATCTGTTTATTTAAAAACATACCTAGCAATACCTTGTCAATCACAAGGAAAAAGACACTGGAGAAAGAAATAAGCATCTGACCTAACATCAGAATGTAATATATTCTTTGCCAACAGCACCTACCAGCTACTGCAGAGTGTTGCCTCTGAAGGAGTTTGTGTCTCTTTTAAAACAAGGTACATGAGGAGGTACTTGGTGTTGGGATGCGTTAGTGTGTTTCTAGAGTCAACCCCAGCTCAAGCTCTAGGACCCTTGGCCAGGGGGTCCTAACAGCACTGTTGCTGAGTAGTTGTACTGCCATGTTGGGATGCTGCAGACTCCTTTTTTCTGTTTGGTGGTGATACGGGTGTCTCCTTATTTCTACTGCTGTAATTACTCAATTCAAAATATTTAATACTTGATTGGATCCTTCGCTGTCTTTCCCAGTTCACCTGAGTGATGTTGTGACCATATGTTTTCGTGGACATCTAAGTGCTGTCATAGTCTAGATAACATATATAATGTTAAGAGGCATAGTTGGGAAGAAATGTTACAAAAGATACTCCAAAAATTGTTATGAATGTCAGCTTTTTAAAAATTCTCTAAGCTAGGAATACAAGGGAGATGAATTTTGTTTCCAGGTGCATTTCTCGACTTAGTTTTTCTTCTTTTTTTCATATACCAAATTTTATTTCCCAATTTGCTTCCCTTTTCTCTGTTTTTTGGAAAAGATTGAAATTAAAGTCCTATAAGAATATCCACAGAAAAATCAAGTTCTGCACTTATAAGTGTCCAAAGTACAAAATCTCATTACACAAATGAAACTTTAAAATAAAAATTCAGATAAAATCCTTTACTCACATCTGGTCGCTTTATTGTACGAGAACAAGAAAAGAGAGGTGACTCTTCCTTGAATCTCAATAGTATGTTGTAGGTACTTGTATATGTTTTTACAAAATTGAGAAATAAATACATTTTGGAAGACTATTTTACTGTATTTTTATGAACTTTAGGCACTTTATATTTATTAAACTTTATAAACTTATGCACTATGTTTACACACTATTGATGTGCTATCTTAATGCTCTTCTTGTGGCTTTAGATTAGCAGTTCGCTGTTGGGGTAAAATAATTGTAAAAATATATTGCAGGAAATGGAATTCACTGTCTAGCTTTCAGATCATGCCATTTTTATGCTGTGCCTTTGGAAATTTACAGTCTTGCAGACCCAAACGTGTCCACAGCTTTGCTCAAGTGGGGATGTTCTGGGTGTACTGGAGTGCACAGTAACGACAAGTTCTGTCAGGCCAGGATCTGCCTTCAAGATTGAGAAGGGCTACAGTCTTAGTTTCCAAAATGAGCATTGGGTGAAATTGTGAAGCTTAAACTCATTCTTAATTATATGCATATAAAATGTGTGCCTAGTAATTTCTCTTTTAAATGTTTAACCTTGAATTTTAGTGTCAAGTTACATAGCTTGCCTATTTAAGATATGATATTACAATAGTTACCTTTAGAGTCTTGAGTATGTTAATATTGCTGGTCTCCTGATCTTATTCTTGATAGTAACCATAGTAGGAGCATTTGCTGAAGAAATTAAGAAGTTTTCTTTGGGGACGTTAAAATCTAAGAATTATTTCAGAATAGGCTAACATTTAAAAACTAAATATTGGTCATTAACAGTGATTGTGCAATCACGGTTTTCATGATAAAAGTAGTTTGACATGTCTGTTGATCTAATCAAGTAGCTGAAGGAATTTCACGTTTGTATTGAAAAGTTGCCATCCTGTTTTGTGTCATTTTTTTATGTATCAGGGTTAAAACTGCTGTTTCCTTTCAAAAGTTTCACGATCCATGTTTATATTGGGTTGAGGTGGAGTTGTAAAGAGGAAAATTAATTGTGTAGTGTGCTTAGTTTAATCTGAACAAAGATTGTTTCTTTAAGTGCTTTTGCATATAGGATCATGTGGCAAATCTCTGAACTGAGATTCAGAATCTGGTGGAGGATAATACCTGCCATGATCATTTGCATTGTCTTTTAAAAGATTCTGAGTGTGAAAGAGAATAGCTTCTCTAGTGACTCAAAAGGGACCCCAGGCAAATATGCTCATTGCTTAGGTTTGTTTATTAGAATCATAGTAGAATCACAGAATGGTTTGGGTTGGAAGGGACCTTAAAGATCATCTAGTTCCAACCCCCCTGCCATGGGCAGGGACACCTTCCGTTACACCAGGTTGCCCAAAGCCTCATCCAACCTGGCCTTGAACACTGCCAGGGATGGGGCAGCCACAGCTTCTCTGGGCAACCTGTGCCAGTGCCTCACCACCCTCTGAGTGAAAAATTTCTTCCATCTAATCTAAATCTTTCAGTTTAAAGCCATTGCCCCTTGTCCTATCACTACACGCCCTTGGAGAAAGCCCCTTTCCAGCTTTCCTGTAGCCCCTTTAGGTACTGGAAGGCTGCAATAAGATCACCCTGGAGCCTTCTCTTCTCCAGGCTGAACAGCCCCAACTCTCTCAGCCTGTCTCCATAGCAGAGGTGCTCCAGCCCTCGGATCATCTTCGTGGCCTCCTCTGGCCCCGCTCCAGCAGCTCCATGTCCTTCTTGTGCTGGGGACTCCAGAGCTGAACACAGTATTCCAGGTTGGGTCTCAGGAGACCAGAGCAGAGGGGCAGAATCCCCTCCCTCGCCCTGCTGCCCACGCTGCTTTGGATGCAGCCCAGGGCACGGTTGGCTTTCTGGGCTGCCAGCGCACGGTGCCGGCACATGTTGAGCTTCCCATCCCCCAGCACTCCCAAGTCCTTCTCCTCAGGGCTGCTCTCAATCCATTCTCCGCCCAGCCTGTGCTTGAGCTTGGGATTGCCCCGACCCACGTGCAGGACCTTGCACTTGGCCTTGTTGAACTTCATGAGGTTCTCACAGGCCCATCTCTCCAGCCTGTCCAGGTCCCTCTGGATGGCATCCCTTCCCTCCAGCGTGTCCACACCACCACACAGCTTGGTGTCATCTGCAAACTTGCTGAGGGTGCACTCGATCCCACTGTCCATGTCACTGACACAGATGTTAAATAGCACTGGTCCCAGTACTGACCCCTGAGGAACACCACTCGTCACTGGCCTCCACTTGGACATTGAGCTGTTGACCACAACTCTTTGAATGCGACCATCCAGCCAATTCCTTATCCACCGAGTGGTATTATTTTATGCCAAACCCATTGAGTGCCTGGAACAGAGCATTCACACACTACGTCATGAAATGGCTTGCTGTCCATTTTAAATGTTCTGTGTCTTTGCATTAATCTTGAGTTTGGGTAATCAGTTCCAAGGTGTCAGTACCACTGTTACTCCATTTGTTTGAAATAGTCCCACTGCTAATAAACAGTATTTAGCTCAGTAGATTGGCCTGAGCTGTGTGATGAGGATGTGGCATTTCAGAACCTCCGCTTAGTGTGTGTTGCACGGGGAAAGATCTTGATCAGTTCCACCAGCCAAAGGTGCAGTGCCAGTACTGTAGTGAATTGCATAGTTAAATAGCTTTAAATCCAAATCAAGTAGCAATAGGAGCCTCATATTTGAGTCAGCGTTTTATATCCAAAACCATTGTGACCAGCAGTTTACCTGGATATGTGTGCATAAACTGCTGCTTTATTAACCGTTTTTCTGGATTTACCTGGGTCATCTGAATCCAGCGTGAGTCCTGGTACAAAAGAGATGTAGTGTCCTATATAAATGTTCTGAATTATTATGCCATGCTGACCATGTTACAAAGGGAAGGATTCCTTTCAGATTGTCCCACCTGTTTTACAGTACTGAGAACCCCACGTAACTCGTTCATTACAGCCGTTACACGAGAGTCACTCTGTTGTAAGTCACTTGCATTGACTGTGTAGCTGAAAACCTGGGGCTTGGCACCATGAAAGTTGGTGTTTTCAAAAGCTGTCATGTTTCCAAGGTCTAAGCGCCCTACTGTTTTGGGAACTGTCTGAAGCTCCAGTGTAATGTGAAAAAATTCTAGTGTTTTGCTGAAGGATAACTACAAAATATCTTCCTTTTCACTCAGATGTGTTATTTGTTCACTCTTGTTACCTCTGATACAAACGACAGGGAGGTTGGATTAGATATCTCCAAGGTCCCTTCCAGCCTGGGCCATTCTATGATTCTGTGAAATTATGTCAAGTAATAGTAGCTTTAATGCTTACTTCTCACCAGCGTTTTCGATTTGCAGGACAGTTCCTGCTCTGCAACAGTCTTCTCTCCATCTTCTCTGTTATTCCATAGTGTTAGCTATCAGTCCGTACAAATTGCTAATTCATACTAAAAATTACTTTTCTTGCATTATTTTGTGAATTTCATTGCCTCCTCCAGACCTGTATTATATTTGGAATTACTTACGCGTTCTGAAAAGCCTCTATTTTGTTACACAGATGCCTTTTGTCATTTTTTTACTGCTGGTACCACATCTGTCAAAGTAGTCTGATCTGCCTATTTGTCAGCTTATTTCAGAATGCGTTGTGCAATCTGGGTCTGTGCAGCTGCTGTCTGTGCTTTTCCAAAGTTCATCTGCAGGACTTTGCCTATCTGGTTGTTTCTAAAGCATTGAGGAGCCCGCTTGACACAGTGATAAAGCAGATTAAAGAGTAGAAATTAATGCTGCCAATGCTTAGCAAAGCTCCATTTAGCTTTGTTTTAATATTCCATGCTTTCCAAGAAACATTCGGTCTGGAATGGTGCCTTAGGTCAAGGACTTAGGCCTTGGTTTCTCTTTGTGAATGCCTAACATGTTGAGGTACTTTCTGTCTGAAATTCCTACGTTTTCAAGAGTCACTAGTCATTTTAGTGCAATATGTAGAGTATCATCAATTTATTCCCTTCACAAAATTCTGAAGGATCAGCATAATTATACTAATCTTTTGTTGCGTCAAACCGTGAGTTTCTTGCTGGACTTCACAGGTTTTTCACATGAACAAAAAATAATTCTTACGATATTAAGCATTTATTTAAATACGGGGAATAAAAGAAGGATGAAAGTAACAAATTCCTATTATATGTATAGAGACAAATGATTGTCACATAGTAAGTGCACGTCTTTCAGACAAGCAGGATTCTCCTTTGCCTTGCTTTAACTAGGATTATAGTAAATTAAATTACTCATACAGATTGCAGGAATTTTTGCCCTCAGAAGAACAATCAAACCATGATCTTCAACAGATAGTCGAAGATACTTGCAATTAAAAAAATGTTGTCTCAAAAACTCTTGTATCTCCTAAGTAATCTCCCACTTCAGAAAAGGGTCTTTGACCTGAAAAGGCTTTCTGTGCATTGTATCTTAGGTGAACCTGGTTTGAAGTTGGAATTGATCTTGAACGGAGCACTGAAGATAATTAATCCAGATTGAGTAGCCTGAATTGTTTACACATTAATGTTTAGTTTAAAGTTCTGGAAATCTACCATTCTGACCCTGAACGCTGAAAGGAATAAGAAAAACTTCAGGAAGTGGTGCACATGCAGTAGTAGGCTAGTACTGCTGTTTGCAAGTTATTTTTCAAAACGTTGACCTACTTCCATCACCAGTTATCCACCTCTGGCTGTTTCTTTCTTTGAAGCTGCCTTACTCATTGTTCAGAGATCCAGACTGGCTAGCAGGAAAATGGTTAAACATTGTCTTTGTGGTGGAACACGCCATGATATTGGCAGGTTCTTGCCGTCACGGAGAGTTGCAGGGAAGACTCAGAAACAGTGATTATTATATATTCAAGCTCTGCACTCAATGCAGGGAGGTTTTTCTTGATTTGTAAGTGAAATATGTAATTTAGCCCTTCATTTTTAATTGGCACCTTTTACTGCAGTGCCAAACCATGAAAATATCAAAAATAAACCAGACAATGGGGCAGATAGACCAATTCTGTCAGCACTTACATGCATGCAGACCTGTGAGACTTCAACGGAGAGGAATAATGATATGATTCTGTTTCAGGTATCTCAACTACTAGGGAAAAAGAAAATCTTTTCAGATTTAATTGTCTGATAGTCAATATTTGTCTTGGATTTAATAACTTCATTTAAAAAGACTTAGTGCCCTTATTCGTCATGTTTTACTGAGGTGAAACTGATGAATCAAGGGGCTGATGAAATTTTGGGGTTTCTTGTATCAAAAAAAGCTAATAGGACTTTTTTGTTTGTTTGTTTAGACTGAAGCTTATCTAGAAAATCTGCATTGCCTATAGATAGAACTCAAAGCTATTGATCCCAAATAATAAGCTGTGTGAATATTCCTGGCATACTCCACTTTCAAAGTGAAACAACATAACCACGATGGAAGTGGGTTCTGTAGGTCTCCCATTAGGTGTCCAGACTACCAGTATCTCCATTTCACTTCTGCGTGTCATGGGCTGTATTCATATCCGCATTTATTCCACTCTAAGGACTCTGTATTTGCATCACTTACTCTTGCCATTCTAGATTTTCTTTCTCAGAGTTTCAAATGTTCTCCCATGTTTCTTTTCATCCAGAACTGTGTGTCTTTGTTCTCTGCAACTTTTTTTATTTTTTCCCCCAATGTATCTGATGCGAAATAAGTAAGTGGAGTTCTTGGGAGGTAGAGCAGAAACAAGCCTTCCTTACGCTGGGAGATGTTAAAAAATGCCATCTTCTTGTTATTTGACCTGTAGCAATTACGCTCCATAGTTGTTCCATTTCTCTTCCGTTTTCCTTCACCTGGATCTCCAGTTTCTCCCGAATCCATATCATTATGCCTATTTATGCATAGAATACTTAGGTTGCATTTGCTTCTCTTCTAATTATCTATCAAGTGTATGTGTAGGTCTTATATCCACGCCACCTCTTCAAGCATGATGTCTTCTAGTTGCCTGTGGTTAAAGAGTACCACCCAGAGAACTACTCAGTCTTTCTCTGAAGACACGGGAAGTTTGATGTTTTTAGCCCTTTTACATTTAACTCATTTTCCATGGACGTGTTCCAGTAGTTAGTGATGAATACTGTTGCGTTTATGCCTTTCTGCCTGAAGTGTGCAGCAATTTGTTCTCGATTTGTGCTTGTCTGTTATGCGAAGAAAAAGTCTATTCGGTGCTTTCTTCTTGTGAAGATTGTTCCGCCTAGTTGTTGATAAACAGAACAGTTTATCAAGAACCTAAATAATTTTCTCCATCTTGCTTGCATATGTAGTGTTTCTGTTTTTCCTCTATTTTTTTGCATTCTTACATATATGTTATTTCAGTGTTTGTCTCAACGTTGTGTTCTAAAAGAGGGGAAAATCACCTTCCAGTTTCAGTTTATTTCTGCTTGTACATCAAAAAAACACCTCAGCCGTTTTCCCTGCACTGCCACACCATGAACATGTATTCAGTTTCTTCTTTGTTACGAAACCCAAATCGTTCTGGATTTGTGACTTTCAAAAACATATCTTTCTGGTTTTCTGAACTTGGCGTGAGCTTCTTATTCAGTGTCAAAATGCAGTTTGTTTGAAAGGGCCTGATTCATCAAGCAAATCCATCCCTGTTCATATTATCAGGATTATCACAATCATCTTTGTGTGATCAGAGCATTTTGTTTGCCTTGACAACCACTGAAAAAATAAACACAGCTCAATTCTGTGATACTTTATTTTATACAATTTATTTGACATCCTTTCTTATTAGAACATAGTTCTTGTCAGTCTTTCATTCTTTTGAAGTTGTTTCATATATTGTCCTCATACAACATAATTCTATTTCTTTTATGTTTTACAGATTCGTTGAGCAGAATAAGTAGCCTGTTTTAAGAAAGGATATACCAGAGTTTTTACATGGCTTTGTTGGTTTTGAGTATTTTTTTAACATCATAGCAATTAACTTGGTTTTATGTCTAGTCAACTTTTGAATGAGAAATACTCTAATACTGCAGATGAATTTCTGTTAGGTTTAAAAAAATAAAATAAACATAATTTCTATAATTAATCTATGGCCTTGTTCAACTAGCGTTTCTCTTTTTCATTTTCTCTTTTTCTGCTGTTGTCAGTTGTGAAATATCTGTAACAGTCTTGCACTGGATCCTTAATAATGTCAGACTTTTAATAGTGGTAAGAAATTGACTGAATTTTGCTACTGTGTACAAGTAGGTTCGGATTTTTGCCATAAAATTTAATAATACACATTATTTTCCCACAAAGTATTTAACTTCTACTGTGGCTTCATCCTTTGTACAAAATTTACATCTCCAAAGAGATACCATACTAAGTATATTTGTACCTTTCTAGAAATACTTGAATTTTCTAGGAGTAATAGGAATTTCTGTCATATGTTTCCTAAAGAGTATGGCAGTACTGGCTTTACTCGTGTGTGTGGAGATGTTGACTGTTCTTATGATTCATGGTAAAAGATTTTATCAACCTCCCCTCTGCTCAAAGAAAATTCTCTGTCGGAAATATACTGCAGCACTATATCAGCTTACAAAATGCAAATTTAAATGAGTTTAAGCTCTTACTAGTTCAGAAGAGCTGGGGTGGTCGTTGCATTAAAGCACCTACCTTGTACGTAAGGCAGAGCTGCTTGTACTTACGGGGCTTAGCCGCTTGCCCAAGCTCAAGTGACCCCTCCAAGGTGTACACTATGGATTTTACAAACATGATGTTCTTGTAAACGGAATGAAAGCTCTGGAGCAAGTAACCACTTGCTGGAATGTGTTCCCTTCCTCAGAATTTTTTTTTTTTTTTTTTTTTCAAAAACAGCTTTCTAAAAGATGCGAAAGTCCAATTTTTTAAGGCAAGCAATTTTTTAATAAGAATTTTCTGGTGATTATGTTACATCCAGACCACTAGCTTTCTGCTGTCACAACGACTGTAGAAGGACAGTGACAATGGAATTGAAACCACATCTTTCCATGCCTTGGAGTATGATTTGTCTCTGACTGAGTAAACAGAACAAATGAAGTAACATTTCTTTTAAATTGGGTTGGTTTACTTGGGAGTGTTAAAACAAAGGATAATCTTCTTGCACAGGATCGAGGAGATGAATTCACTTACACTGGGAGCGGAGGTAGAGATCTTTCTGGCAATAAAAGGATTGGAGAACATTCATTTGATCAGACATTAACACACATGAATAGGTAAGTTTTGAAGATAAAAGGTATTCCAAGACAAAGAGCTGGGTTTTAGTGCTTTAATTTAAAACTAACGTTTTGCTACATTCCTTCACTCCTTGCTTTTGTAAACGGTGGTGCCTCGTGCTGGTAAGAGGCATCATATCAAGCATGACGTTTTGTTGATTTTAAGAAACACTTGCAGCTCACTGAAATACATGGCTGTATTGCTGGTGCAGCTACAAGTCATGTCTCTGGTTGAAATTGTTGTGCAGTTTCCTTCAGAAGACTGTTTTAGTGTAACGAGAAGTTTGTCAAAACTCTTGGGTGGAAGTTTTCTATTCTGGGTGTTTCTTTTTAAGTTTCTCCTTCAGTAGTTAAATCACTTACAAAATTTAAGTAGGAAGAAAGCACATGCTTTTTCACCTGTTAAAAAGAGATCTTTCCTATTTTGCCAGCCCTTTCTTCCAGCATAGTTTTCTATGAAAAGCAAGGAATTAGGGTGTTGCTTTATCAAAAACAGGTGCTTGAAAAAGAAACTATATGTCAAAAATTAGACATCTGCTTAGTGTTTTTGCCATCTTCTGAAAGCCTGCCTCAACAAAGAGTTCTCCATCAGTTCCCGAGAGCTCTTAGAAATAGCTCTTGTAATAATCTCTGTTATGCAACTGACCACTTAACACCTACTGGGTGCCGAAATTGACAGAGACCTTTTCTGCGCCAGGTCTCCTTTTAGATACGATGTGCTGCTGTCAAGCAGAGAGGAGAGGGATTCTTTCAAGCCTTTTGGTGGTACTTTGGGGGGAGGGAGGAAAAGCCTGACTTAGCTGCTGAGAAAGGGGCCGAGGGGGGAAGAGAGGGACGTGATGTGAACAAGAACAAGGAGGGAAGGAAGATGGAAGTAAGTTTAAGCAATAGGTTTTCAAGCATATTGAGTGAATAGAGCAATCTTGCTTTGAAAACAGAATTAAAAGCTGGGCTCCTTAGTCTCAGCATTCCTTTGCTCTTGGCAAATGAGAAATCCACTGGCAGAGCTTGCCTTGTAGCTTTGCAGGCGTTGGTGCGCTTGGAGCATAACAGGCTGCTGCTTTCAGTTACTGGTTTTGATACAAATTTTCAAGCACTTTGATGCTGAAGATCAGGATGATTCCATGGAGTTGAATCAGAATAGGATTTTGCTTGTTCGGGTTTTTCCTTTTGTAAGTTTCATTTTTGTGTAAGAAGTGTTTTGAAGTCAGCATTGCGAGCCTGTCTCTTGCTCTTCCTCTGTGCAGCGTGGGTTTTATACATGTGCCACGGCTGTTTATAAACTACATTGTTTTTCCATTCTGAGATCCCTGGTTTGCTTTGGGTCTGATTCTGAAGGGTTTCCAATCCCTGGTCAAATCGGGCCGTGGTAGTAGAAATACTGTCCGTTGTGGCAGCTTGGTCTAGTAGGTGTTCATACTGTCTTGCTCCAGGTGTCTGGAAGAGGCTCTTTGTGCAGTTAGTAGATAAAGGTTTGCTTGTCCTTCAGTTAGCTACTACTATTTAACTCCTGTTCTGAGGCAATTTATGTATTATGTGAGAGATTTTAATTACTTAGAGTTTTTTGGATGGTTACGATGTACTTTTTTCTCTGTAGTGTTTTTCATCATGTTAATTACTTCATGTGCACACTTTAAAAGGCTAAAAATCTGAAGTTAGTGGGGAATAGCGATAGGGAAAGTTTGGCTTTTGTTATAATTTTCTTTTAATTTCCTCAATGCTATTTAGGAATGTATTATTTTTAAGAGTGGAGAATATTGAGTCTAAAAGCATTGGTTTGCTTTATTTAGCAATATCAGCTGAGTTTTCGTCTCGAACCTTGACAATAAAATATTTTGTGTTCCCTTTTTTTCCTTGCCGAACGTGGTAGCATGGGTCTCATTTCTCCCATCAGTTTTGCAGTTGTTAAAGACTATACTGAAAAGTTCTGTGCTGCTTGAGAAAGCATAATTAGACAAAGGAAATAGCTATGACTTAATTCCATTAATTCTCAGAAGCCTGTTGTGTGAAGCAATCTAGTCTATGAAGATTTTGAATCTCGTTCTAGGGCGTTGGCCCTTAACTGTGATGCCCCACTGGATGACAAAAACGGAGCAGAGTCCAAGAACTGGAGAGCTGGTAAGCCAGTCAGAGTAGTGCGCAGTTCAAAAGGACGGCGGATCAGCAAATATGCTCCAGAGGAAGGCAACAGATACGATGGCATTTACAAGGTATTCTGATTTCTACTGAGGCCAACATAATATTTTTCTTCAGCTGTTCTGAAAAGTCTCATAGGTGTTACATTGCAAATTCTTCATTATTACATAAAAGAAATAATTATTTTTTCTCCACGAGAAGGAGCTTTTTAGCCTTAGCTTATTCTGCAAAAAACTGAAATGAAATTATTTAGTGCAATGATAACAGAACTTAATCCATAGTAGGGTATATACAATTGAATATATATGCTAATGTGTATGTGCTTACTGAGTCCTATTCATCCCTGGAAATCAAATTATTTCCTTGCTCCTCCCAACTATATCCTAGCTTTTTGTGAGTTTAATGACTTCTCACCATCTGAAATAAAGGTGTGTGCCTTTTAAGAGCACTGTATTTATGGAAAATACAAAATTGTCACACCTGAGGGAAGAGCTGCTGTATAGTAGTAATGTATAACTTGGTTTTCTCATTTCTTCTTGAACAATTAAAGTGCGACTATATGCATGCGTTTGGCTTGTAATAAAATAGTGGCAGTAATGTTACATTGTTCTTTAGGTAGTGAAATATTGGCCAGAAATTGGAAAATGCGGATTTTTAGTTTGGCGCTATCTTCTGAGGAGAGATGATGTTGAGCCTGCACCTTGGACTTCAGAAGGAATGGAGCGGTCAAAGAAGCTGGGTCTGAGCGTACAGGTTTGAGTCAGGACTCCCAGAGTTGTTTTTATTCTCAGTTCCCCTTAACGAATTCCAGAAATAGAAATCAGTTAAATTAAAGCCCGTTTTTTCTCTTGTACTTCAGTGTGGCAGGATTTAATGCCAAAAACCACTGCAGATTATCTGCCAGCTGAAAGAATCGTGTAATAGTGACAGCAGAAGGAACGGTGGATGAAGCTTTCCGCCTTAGCAGAGAATTGTTTTGCATATATGGATTGGAAAGTGGAGAGTTTGAATCCAGTTTTGTGATCCTTAGGCTGGAAAGAGGTTCTACAGCAACTGTGATTATAGCTGAGTCTGTCTGAGAAGTCAAAAAACGCATTTTTTATGTCTTTTGTTCTCCATGTGACTGAGGATAGATAGTGTATTTCAGGCACAGAAGTAAACTGACCCATGAGGACTTGGACATTGCTGAATTCATGAAATTTGAAAGGAATTAACATGCTGTTTCTTTTTTTTCTCAGCAAGGCAGTGGTATACCTTACTGAATACCATCATCTTCAGCTTTGCCTAACTGACTTGTGTAGTTGTAAGGGAACTAAGATACTAATTTACATGTTTCCTCCATCATGCAGGGTTTTAAGAATTATCTTGTAGTTATTTCAATATGTAGCCACAGGGTTTTAAAGTCTTTTAGGAATTAGTCTTGTTGGTATTTGGGAATTCCTGAATGCTAGTGGGTTTGGGTTTAAATCTATGCTTTTTTATTTTAGTATCCAGAAGGTTATTTGGAAGCCATGGCTAGTAAGGAGAAGAAAGATAAGGTTAAAAAGCAAACTGTGAAACAGGAGCCAACCAGCCAGAGTAATGGAAACCAGAAAAGGACAATTGATGATGGTATTTCTTTTATTTTTTTAGCATTCATCAGCAAAGTCTGTCATGTTACATTTATTAAGCCCGTAGCATGAAAACTGCAGAAGTGTCAAGTTATTTGGAATACTAAAATGAATTGATAAGTTCATGTTCTGTGACTACGTAGTGTAGAGATCTTATCCCATTTGCTACCCTTACGGGTTTTTTTTTCTCTTAAGCTCTGCAGAAAAAATGAACAGCCTTCAGTGCAACTGTGCGCTGCAGTCAGTGCCGAGTGGCACGAGTTGGAGCAGGGATCCGGTTGCGGCATTGCACGAGTATAGACCACGTTTTAGCCTTCTAGAAACAGTTGTGTCTTCTCCTCTTAGTAGTTCAGACTCACGCTCTGCTCTTACTGCATCTGATGGTCATAATCTTAAGCAGGTGTAGAAGAACCTACGAACACACCCAAAGCCATGAGGATGGGGGATGGAGGGAAAGGAGAGGCTTTTCAGCTGACCCAAGAGCAGCAGTGGCTGATCAGAGAAGACTGTATGAACCAGAAACTGTGGGATGAAGTACTTGCTTCTCTTAAGGAAGGACCAGTACGTTTGCTGCATGCGTAATTTTCAATGCTTAGCTTTTCTTTAGACTGCTAGGAGAAATCTTGAGTCACTCTTAAAACCTAATTTGCTTCTGGAACTCTTGCTGAATACACGCTATGTGTAGCATTATTTTTATTTGTAAGACTTTGATTTCAAGAAAATAATCCTTGCTCATACAATTTGCTATTGATGGCTAAGTTTACACCTGCATAATAGAGATCTTTTCCTGCTCAAAAAACATTTTGAATTCAGAAGTGGCTTTTTTTTTCTTTTCATTTTTGAAGGAAGCATGTTTTCTGTGAAATTATAAGTGTATTTTTTTGCTGTGCTGATGTGAGAAATCAGACATGAATAAAGATGGTTCTAGTCACTACTTTTTGTTCAGACAGGAAATAATGTTGTGACAGAAAATATATCTTGCTTGCTTTGTTTAAGAAGATAGATAGAACCTCAAGTAAGAAAATTATTCAAGAAAATAGCAAGAATAGCTGAAGATTGAAGAGACTATAGACATTAGCATTAAAAAAGTCCACAGAAGGAATATCTCCTGAAATATTACATCTTTCAGTGATAACTAGTCTTACCAATGTCAAGTTCCTAGTTATTTTGGCAGTTTTGCAGAAGAAATCAAGGCACTAAGAAGTTAAAATAACTTGATAAAACTCATCTCAGTGAAAAACAAACCATTGGTTGGAAAATGGGTATCTAAAACTGGACATAGATAGTTAGTTTATTTGAGAATTACCTCTGATAGTGTAAAGCTATTTACTGTTATCCATCTTCTGTCTAGTGTCTGTAATGATTAGAAGGAATTTCGGCTCTTAAAATTGTACACGACGACAGGGAATAGAGATACATGTTTGTAAAAAGGAGAAACCAGTAGTTTAAATGACTGAGAGGTCATTTTTCTACAGGTTCCTACCCATCATTTTGGTAGGATTTCCATTTGGTTGCCACTAAAGGCAATGGGAATCACTGCTGGCTTTGGGTCACTACTGTGAAAACGTGTATCTTTCTGCTTGAAATAACCACCTTCCCTTTTAACGAAATAAAACGTGGTTTAAGGTAGATGTGTTTTTTTTACAAATTATTTCAAAGTACCATATTTTGATTAACTGTAGATCTGCTTTTTTTGCTATACCCAAGCTTGTAATCTTGAGGTATTTGGAGATCACGGGCACACCAGAGATAAGCATGCTTTGTGTGTAAAACACCCGAGACAAATGTGTCTTGAGAGTCCTCAGAGATGCTCTGGGAAGATTTGAAAACCAGGGCTGCTGATGGATGCGCCGCAGAGAGTTTGGCCGGAGGGGAGGAGCAGCCATGAAGCTAGCTGTAAGCCATAAGCACAGGAGGAGATGCAGAAGTGGCTTTCTTAGCAGAAGGTTCCTTGTTGGAGAAGCAGACATCTTTCAGGGGCGTGTAAATTCCTAGTAGCAGTTACTAAACATAAGTACTAAGTTTTCTGACCTATGCTAAGAATCAGGGAGGATTCCACTCTTTCTGGTCTGTTCCATTTTGTTTATAACAATCCTCATACAAACAAGTAAGCTTTAAAACATCAGTCCTCTGGTTTGTGGAAGAGCAGGGAAATTAAGCAGTTACTGATCTGCTTCCTGATTACTTCTAGAAAGCTGCACTCATGGATATGGAGGACTTAACTTCTGGAAGTTTATCATTTTTATGTTAATAGGTGGCATTTACAAGACCAGTAACAGAGTTTGTCTTTTTTATTTCTTTGTCCTATGCTAGAATTTTCTGAAGAAACTGGAACAATCCTTTATGTGTGTCTGCTGCCAGGAGCTGGTTTACCAGCCAGTGACAACAGAGTGCCTCCACAACGTCTGTAAAGTAAGAATAAACTCAGTCTTGCTCTGGGCTGTTTTCTTGGCTCTGAGACGCCAGTCACCAAAGCCATATGTATTTTAGAAAGACAATGATTGTTGCCTAACGTTGTGAGAGAAAATGTGCAACACGTTTGCACTCAGGGATTGCTGTGTAACTCTGATTTTATGTAGTAAAGAGTGGAAGTATGTTTAGTATAGTTCCTGATAGACATAATGAGTGAGCTTTACCATTGCCGTCATTCCTTTGTGGAATTACACTAGGAATTGGTTTGGTCCAGGAGCTAGATGTTGGTGCAGTAACAATAATTTAATTTTACACAGTTAAGGAATAAAACCACATCTTACAATTTTGTAACACTCTTATTAAGAGTTGTTGAAAAGGAGGCAGGGTAAATGCTAGAAAATTATTGGGACTTATTTGGATTAAGCTATTGATCTTGTTGTTCTTGGTGTTGTGTTTGGTAGAGAGGCCACAGAAGTCGATATTTATAACTCCTGTATATCTTAAAGTCTTGATTAGTTGGATATAATGTAAGGAGTTTGGAATCCATTTTGTACTAGAGTTAGTTTTTGTAGTACAAGCATGTATAGAATCATGCACTTAATTGTGCATATTTGAACTGTGGCTGGCATAGCTAGTATTTCTGCCTCAGAGCCTACAAGGACTAAGACTATTATCATCCTAGTACAGTATCTGATCATGCAACTTTGCTGTTCAAGAAGATAAGTCTCACTCCAGTAAAAATGACTGTGTCGTTACGGATGGCCTGCACACATAGAATGATTATAAAGCTCCTTAAAAAACCTCAAAAGTAGTAACGAAGCAGTTAATATTTAGAATTATGGAAATGGGAAAAGTGGAGAGAAAAAGCTGAATGGCAACGAACTCAGAAAGGACAGGATTTGAAGATGTCAGTAAATATCTGCCAATACAAAGTTAAAGTTAAAATGAATAGTTTGATAGTAAGCTATTGATGCTTGGGGATACACGTGCCCTGGTGAATTTCCGATACTCAGCTGACGTGCTTGGGCTGTGTGCAGCCTGTGGTAAGACAGTAAGGAGGGCAGCAGTGATGCTGATGGGTTAGAGGTTGTATCATGCGACATACGGCTTTAAGGTGTAGCTGCATCTCATCTGGTGAGGTGGATGGAGATTGTTCCATAAACCGTATACCTGGTGCACTCACCTGTCTCTTGAAAGGGAGGTCTGGGAAACAGCAGCAGTCTAACTGGGAAGCGAGGAGGCAGCTGCAGACGTGGCTGCGATTCACAGGGAGGCACTAGTGGAAATGAAGGAGAGATGTCAGTAGTGATTTAATTCCTCCCAAGCCCAGTGTTTCCCATCCCATCCCATCCCATCCCATCCCATCCCATCCCATCCCATCCCATCCCATCCCATCCCAGCGTTCCTTGTTAGCACATCTGTCACAGGGGCGGAGGTGGGCACCAGAGGGCTTGGTAATGACTTGGGTTTTCCTGGCAGTACAGCAGGTCCCATCTTTTTGGTTTATAGTGATTCCTTAGGTTTTGCTGGTTAAGCTGTCAGTCTACGACAGAGTTCTCACGACTTACTTCTCTGTCTTTCTCTGTCCTAGAGCTGTTTACAGCGCTCCTTCAGAGCTGAAGTCTTCACCTGCCCTGCCTGCCGCTATGACCTGGGAAAGGGCTACACCATGGTTCCCAACAAGATTCTGCAGACACTACTGGACCAGTTCTTCCCTGGTTACAGTAAAGGACGATGATGTGCTCAGATCCTTCCGTACTTCTCCCAGTGACTTTACAGACAGTAAAGGAGAGTAAACATGAGAAAATCAACAGTGGACCAGCCAGCTTCATGGGACTCAACATACTGTCACATTTTGAAGCAGCTAACCCTCTTCCCCTCATAGCCATCTTTTTGGTGTAGTGAGAACTCTAATTCTTAACTGTCTTTTAACATCAAAGGTAGTTTTGGCCAGTTAACAAATAGTTTTTAAAGAAAAGAAGAAAAAAAGAAAAAAAAAAAAGAAAAAAAAAAAAAGCCTCAGCTCTTACTGGCCTAGCTGATGCTTAATTTATGATTTGTTTTTCTGTAACTACCTCAGGACAGAGGAAAATAAATTGTGGGGATGACAAAGAGTTAGTGAAGTTTTAGCTACACACTGCCTCCTGAATATTAGTTGTGCCTGGTCCATGTGGTTTGATTTACAAAAAGAAAAACCTGAACCAAAACAAAAACCCACAAAAAAAACAGCAAAAAAAACCCAGAAACAGCACTTACGCCAGCTGAATTAAAGAACAGCAAATTCTGTGGTGTGCATAATCCTTTTTTGTCTTTTTCTTCCATTATGCTGTATTTTTTTGCAAGAACAGGCTGATTTTTAGTCTATTTTTGTGAGCTTCATTGTGCTTTTCTTGTATCTTATGCAAGTTGACTACTAATGACTAATGAGAACAATATGAATGCATTGTTGCTGCATTAGTGTAAAGTGATCTGTGTTTTTTGCACTTAAAGAGGGTATTCAAGACACTCTAGTTGTGTAAAAAATATTTCATATAAAAAAGCCACTTCTGTATTAGTTAAACTGTATGCTTTTAGTAGGTCTTGTATCAGTGGCAATACATCTACACAGCATTGAAGGCAGTGCTAGCTTGGAGAGGGTTCAAATCGCTTCATATTGTGATCTGAAATTTTATATACAATATATCCCCCCCCCCAAATATACCTTATTAAATATTTTATGATTCAGAAAAGTTGCTAATTTTGTTTTTTACTATTATTCACTTTATTTAAATCGAAACATTTTTATAGAGTTTTTCTTTCAGATTAGTAAACGCCTTCTTTAGGTGGGCTTATTTTTCAGACGTGACACTTTATATTCCTTAACTCATTTCTCAATGAAAAAAACATTGTTAATTGAGGGAGAAAGCCCGACCTGTCAGCTCTATTGTCCATGGGCACACATACACTCTACAGCAGCAGCTGTCACACAGCTACTCAGGTCTCTGCTGAGCATTTGAAGGAGGCTTGTTGGTGCCCAGTCTGCATACTGGAGTCAGAGGGAGCCCTTCTTGGCAGCACTTGCTGCCAGAGCCAGCTCAGTGCAGCTGGGAGCTGTGCCCGGCGCAGCACCAGTCACAGACCCCCACGGTGAGCAGGGGGCTGCACGGGCAGCCCGTAGCCCGCCAGGCGGGCACAGAGGTAAGTGCATCTGTACGCCGTACCAGCACGTGTGCCACTCTCAGTAAGGGAAGATCTTGCCCAAACCGTGGTGTGGTGGTGCACCAGTCGTGGAGATGCACGTGGCAGTGCTCTTTCTGTGGCTGAAGGTTAGCTTAACGCTTCGCCGCTTTACCCGGAATAAGTAACTTCTCTCTCCTCACTCTGCCCCGTCATACGTAGGATTTCAGTTGCATCCAAAGTACGTAAGGCTGGTACTGCCTCTCTAGTCACATATCAAAAAAAAACAGGTGTTGCTGAACAGTTTTGCGAGATTTAACTCCTCAGCTTGTTCTGTGCTTCCTGCAG